TCCTGTCCTGGGTTCAGCTGGGATAGAGTTAATTTTTACAGGAACCTGGGAAGTGGGGGGCATAGCCGGGGTAGCTGACCTGAACCAGCCAAGGAGATATTCCATACCATGTCACATCATGCTCAGTATATAAATGGGGAGTGGGCCGGGGGGTGGGCTCTTCTTTTCGGTGGGGGAAGTGGCAGAGCGTCGGGTTCCGGGTGGTGAGCAGTTGCACTGTGCATCACTCCTTTTGTATACTCTTTTATTAGTACCGTTGTTATTGTTGTAACTTCTCTTTTTTTTGTTGTCCCAGTAAACTGCCCTTATCTCAACCCTCGAGGTTCTGTTTTGGTTTTTTTTCCTCCTTTTCTCTCCTTCGATTCTCCTCCCTATCCCACTGGAGCGGGGAGGGAGGAGTGAGCGAGCGGCTGCGTGGTCCTTTGTTACCGGTTGGGCTGAAACCACGACACCTCCTCAGGTTCCATCTGGAGTAAGGAGTCCCAGGAAGTTCAGCTAGCATATCCAACCATATTTAAGCAGGTGGGGAAGTCTATTTCTTCATTTAATGGTTCCTTATTGACAACATGGGGCAAATTATCCCAAAATCTCTGGAAACAGACCTACCTAGGGTTCAGCATGCAATGCTAACAGGAGTTAACTGTGCAGTTAACATCAAATAATGTCATTTGTTTTGCTGTGGTGAAGCAGTAACAACTTGGTGATGCCATTGGGAACAATGGCAATTACACAGCAAGTTGCTTTAGCACTACCATATCATTACAGCTTGATACTATGCAATCAAAACTTTATTAGCAATCATCAGCAGCATCTATTATTCATTGCTTAGATCAAGCTAAGATGGGGAAGCCTGCGTGCATACCAGAAACAGGACTCTGAGCCAGTCTAAGCACAAGGTTGGAAGCCAATTCCATGGCCATAGTGCTGAGTCACTGCATAACCTTCAGCAATCACTTACCATCTCAGTTGTCCCATGTATAAAATGGAATAACAATAAATATTTATATTTCCAAGAGACATTATTAGGATTAAATCAGGTGTACAGATAAGTATTAGCATTAATTTCTTAGTGGCTACCAATTCAAAATTAAAACATTTGATTGCAAGTTTCAAGTACATACACCTAAAGCTGCAGGCATGCAATGTATGCAAGCAGGCACCTGAGGTTGTAAAGTATGTACACCTATATATTTATGCACAAACTGGTCCATAAAGCATATGAAAACACATACTCAAGTATCTATTATCCTAAATGGTCTGTTTGATTCAGGTTCTTCACACTGTAAACATCCTGGATGAAGATGTGTATGGAGTCTGACAGGAACAGAGCTAGTATGCAAAGTATCTTCAATATATGCACAATTTCTGGAGATAATTTTATTGCCTGAATTTTAAGTTTTAGTCACAGTATCAGTTTTTTCATTATGCTAACGCGGCCTAACATAACCACCAACCTGTATTCCCAATACGTAATGCAGTTTAGAAACTCTAAAAATAGACCTGAAAAAAATCCTGTTCCTTCTCAATAAGTTATTTTAATTTATATTCAAGAGGCAGCTAATATCATCTGTTTATTTCCCTACCTTATTTTGAGTCAAATAACTATACAATTTACCCCAACCTTAACACTTACTTAATAAGCAAATTAGCAAAGTATCAGAAATAGCTGACTAGAGAAGCACACCCTGGTGTTTTCTAACTACATGCTTCCACCGAGATTTATGCCTCCACCTCCTCAGTGCAACCAGACATGGCTGCTACTAGTAAAAAGTTGTTAAGACTTTCATTATCCAGCACCATTTTCCCTGTTTATTCAACAATGAAAAAATTCCAAGGTAATTAAAATTTAGGTCTCCCAATCCTGTAACCCGACTTGTGTGGGCAGGCATAAATTACCTACACAAATTAACAATGCTCTGCAGGGGCATAGAAATTCATCACCTAGATCCACTTCCAAAAAAAAAAAAAAATCTATCTTCTTCGTGTAAAGCCCCGCCAGGCACGTATCTCCGACTGGTGTTTTCCCCCACCATTTGCATTACTCTTAAAAGTCTGACTGCAACTTCAAGACTGCTAAGAACAAATAAGCATCACTGGACTACTGAGTCAGCCCTCCTTTCTCAATCCCTGTTCCACTAAGGAAGGGAAAAAAAAATATTCTTTTGAGTGATAGGAGAAAAAGATAGAGATGAAGAGGAAATATGTTTTAGAGGAAGAAAAGAAAGAACTGATAAATGCCAAGCTAGGATAATATTTACTGATTGGCAAGATAAAAGTGGGAGATTAACAACATTAAAAAATTTACATGGTGGGGATTGATCAGGTTATAAAACAAGTTTATTTGCACTTAGAGACTTAGAGAATATCAAGTGTCTGGTAAGATCTAGCTGGGCAAGATAGGAAGAAGAAAAAACATTGGACTGATTGAGGAAATAACCGGACAGGATCCATTCCCACTAGGGCACAGAAACCTCACAAAGATGAATGGCTTTTGTCTGCTGGCAAAAAACCCTATACCATTTTTCACACCTGTTTTACTGTATATGTGTTCTGATGCAAATGAGAGGAATGCAAAAGAGAATCAAATAAGTTTAAAAATATGTACACTGTGCATTCTGGGCAGGCTGCCAATGTGAGTACAACACTCTGGCTCCATCAACAAACATGGAGCTTCATCAATTTACACCCAACGATTTTACACAGAGAAAAACCACAAAAGTTCCCTGACTTCATGGACAGCTTCGTTCAGTATTTATTTTTATTTTATTTAGTACAAATAACGAGCTACATTTCAACAGAGAGAGGCACTATTTGATAAATAAATGTGATTCATTTTATCTAATTTGATAGATAAATAAATTTGATTTTTTTTTGCACCAGTTGGTCTCATTTGTGCTTTTCCAGATCCAGGCACCTTGTAACTCCCCCAGTATGACAACCGCATGTGCCGCTTTTACGCCACAGTGGGCGGAGGCAGAGGAACGAGGTGAGCCCAGAGCAGAACGTATCTTCGGATGGATCAGCTACCACCCCTGGCCCAAGTGCTAATCTTAAGCACTTGCTTCCTTTCAGCATTTCCATCCTAGTTTTATAAACAACCAAAGCATCTGGTACATCTATTAGTTGTAAGTAAAAGGGCCTGATTTCCCTATGATTCACGCTAGCATCAATTTTATTTGAATGCAGTTCACACCAGTTCTTCTTTACACCAGCTGTCAGCAAGGTCTGAATGACCTTGTTTAAAGTGTTTATGTTCTCAAAAGAAAGCAAGATTATCTGAAGCCTGTTTTATGTTTATTTTGAAAGAGCAGAGAGTTTATTTTGAAGAGTCCAACTGAATAAGTTTAAAAGACTTCTATGATAGATTACACTGAAGCATGGATAGCAAAACTTGAAACATATTGCACATGTTGTACAGGCCAGGGGCATATAACAGGAAAGCAATGTGTGCTTACGCCATTATGGGAGTATCTGAATTGCCATTTGGTTGTCGTCTTTGCACAAGATGTTGGACAAAAATTAAAACAGAAACAAATGTGCAGTTAATTTCGCATCTTAAAAGTTTAAAGGATAATTACAAATGAACCATCACAGCCCTAAAAATGCCAATCCTGAGCCAATACTAAGCAGTCTCCATTTGATCTTACTCTCTTTCCTGAACACACCCTTTTTATGACTAAAGTTGGGGGTTTTTTACTTGCAAATACCCTTGTGCTGCATGGACCACTGCCCCTGGCCAGACTGGACTACTCAGCCACTAGTATGAAAACAAGGTATTGCAAAGATACGCTGTCATTATGAGAAATCCCACAAGATTAAAACAATGCAGCCTTCTTCAAAACAAGTGACAAAGCTGTTGTGCAGCACGTCCTGGTCACAGGCTTTTCTTACTCCCTATTCCCTTGCCCACTCCTTTTCTTGGATTCTTTCTGTAAAGCTCCTTACACACACAGATGAAGATTGAGTCCCCATACAAGCTCTCGGGACAGTATGAAGTTTACAGGTGCCTAAGCCACAAGGTATACCCCATTTGTTTCTAGACCTGAAGCTTATGGGTTACTTAAGAACTTCACGTAATACTCCTCAAAGAAGTCTCCTGTCATATATAACAATTATTTAGATATCCCAGCAGAATATTTCAAGAATATTTTTACCGCTACAGATAACCCAGCAAAACTAGCATAGCAAACATTGGAGCAATATTATATTTATTGATACCAGTGAAATACTTTCAATTCTGAAGTGTACATACTGGGTCTAGCAAAAAATTGTGGTGGAAGATTTATATAGATACACAGAAACTTAGCGCACAAAACACCCACTTAGCAAAACCAAATTAACACATGAGAAGATAACCAGTATGATTAGTATAACATAGGCTTACCCTAGCCCTGGTATTGTGCTGACATATACCTGAGTGTGCAATTTGTGCACACACAGGCAACAAGCATACTGATATCTTAATTCACAAATGTTAAGGGAATGAGAATCAATTTAAAATTTATTGGGATTACTACATATTCCCAGTTGTCATAAAACACAATATAACCTGCACTGGTGTTACATTTCATCCAGACAATCGTGACTGCTTCCAAATCAGGATTATTTACTAACCTCAATATAGTACTCAATAGCAGCAAGAACTCCCAACAGACACATCCAAACACAGTAAGTATTTCAAAGTTTTTAAGTAACTTTGATGCAAAAATACTAAGAAAAGAGTGGCACCTTTCAAAGTGGCATTACGGAAAGTATCTTATACTCTCTATTATTGTTTGTCTCTACTGTTAAAACTAATTTCAAACTCTTTGTTATTGAACTGCAAGAACTGCATTTAAGGAAGAGAAGGAGTAAAAGCTGATGACAATCTGGATAATCTTGCTGTATTAGCAACAATCAGCTACCAACTCAACTCAGCAGCAGTTTGGACAAGGAAAAGAGACAGATCTGTTCTAAGAATGGGGTGGGGGAGGTGGTCATAGAAAAAGCAGAGAACTTACCTCCACAAAGAGCTCTCCAGCACTTTCCCCATGTCAGTATGATAATACTTGGTAAGGATCAGGATCACCTAAAAAGAAAACAAGAATAAATACATTTATACATGTAAACTGATATAGGAAACACAAGTAGATCATGGGCAGCATTATTCTGGTAAACACAAAAGTGAGGCTCCTGAAAATCTGAATTGTATTTTACTTTATTTTAACCTCTTTCCAGTTTTGCTTTCAGACTGGGTTTTTTCCTTCCTCTTTCTGAGAAAAGTGATTTCAGCACTCAAACTTTTCTGCAAACCTGGTGACTTTGTGAAAGATTGTCCGTTTCACATGAGCAGTGGGGTTGGAATAGTCACATAAATCCCCCCACCACATGACAGCCCCCAAGCAATTTGTATGACTTTCTCAGCAGGAAGAACCAATCTGGTTGCTAGTTTAAATTTAGGAGGCAACTCTCTTGTACATCTACAGAATAAAAATCCAAAGTGTTAAACAATGGTGATTAACTGATTATCTGGATAACAAATTCAGGCAGAAAATGAGCTCTGGTCTTCCCTGCAAGATCAGGAATGCAACTTCCATGTCAGTCATTTTTTGTTCCTAGAAGTATCATCTTTTCTTCCCTCAAGAACCAGCTCTGTGCTCTGTAAATTACTCATCTACATCACCAACAGCCAACAAAATACACAGAAAAATTTCATCCACAAAACATCTCAGCCTATGAGAAGAGTCAGCAAGAAACACTTTCCATACACTCAAAACGACAAATTCACTGGTCAAACAACATAAAGCACTAGTCCATGACTGCTGTATCAAGCTGAGTGCTATGGTTTAAGTTCAGATCATTTAAACCAGATTTCCTTCGCTTGCTGCCAGTCCATAGTAGTGGTTCTTACACCCACATTCCCACAGCAACCCCATAGAGGTAGAAAGGGAAGAACCTCTGGTTCCTTGCACAGCCGTTGGCTTTCTTTAATGCGGGGTCAACATCAGTCTCCCACAGTTTGAGGCATACTGTTACTGAGCTGGCACTTCCTCTGCTCCTAACCACCAGATGAAATCTCCAGCAAACAGCAACTGTAGGCATTCACTTTGATTATTCAGATAATTAATATGCTGATGATGTATTTATGCTGCAGTCTCTGTACACTGGAGCTTTTGAGAGAACAGAATTCCAGACCATGGGTGTTAGGTACATGGCGCTTTGGAAATAACACAATGTTTTACAGAACTGAGCTATAATACCAGTCTCGTTCAGGGTTATCTAAACCTAATAAATTCACAACACGTATTCCTGGATGTATATTGATATAAGTAAAAGCAGAACCAATTCATAACTCACAAATAGTATTATTCTCTCCTATTCTCAAAAGAGCCACAATCTACCAGATCACTTAGCTGGAATTTGATGATTTTTAGAAATAAAGGCTTGGTTTAAAATAAAGCAAGCAAGAAGAAAAAAAAAAAAACAAACTTTTACTTTTAAATAGGTTACTACGAAGACTTACAAAGCCAAGAGGAAGAACCATTTCCCAAAGAAGAGAGTATCTACTGATGAGATTCCTGGCTACAGCCCAAGCACACTCCATCAGGTCAGCTATTTATTCTATTGTCAGTGTCTTAACTACAGCTTTCTGCTGGTCCTTGCAATTAAGGAGAAAAAGAAAGAAACTTCACTACTGGGAGCATCTATTGTCTCCAATTATTAAGGAAAAAGTTTCAGACTGTGCTTTTCTGAGCAACTGAAATTCCTCTTAGGCCACAAAAATCAGCCTGGGAGGTTTTTTTAAGACATACAAGAATGCATATTTGGTGCATGAAAATAAAATAGAAAGTATCGAAAGATATAAGAGATTACATGTTGTTTCCTTACATTCACACAGAACCAGAGACTAAATCCTGAACTTAGCAAACTTTTTTCATCCCTGTGCATCCTAAAGCTGTAACTTTTAAAATTCAGATGATTTTCAGCAATGTATGTTGGAGCCACCTTGCCACAGGGTAAGCCCAATATTTCATTCCTGAATTAAACTGGTTACTATCATACACAGAAGATCCTACTGGGTTACCTTCAATCCACCTGCTTTGGAACTTAACCTCTATGGAAGCATCAACAAAGCACCTTCCAGATAAGCCATTTCTGTAACTCAGCACCTGTCCTAAGTGTTAAAGACTTTCAGGAACAAGGGGTAGGCTCACTGTACTGCTTGCTAGCAGTAGTTCATCTAGGGGATGCACACACCAAATCAGAAAGTTACTGTTGTTCCACACACTTCAAATGAATGGCTTTCAGGTAATTGCAAACTGTATTGGGGAGCAGCCATAAGCAGTAAAATGGCTTATTTACGCTGCAGGATTGGTGCCTTAATCTGAGTCACAGCTCTGAAAAACAGAGGTCAGTATTTTCCAATCTGACCAGTAAATGCATTTAAAAATTAAAAGACCTTATTTTGCATTTCAGAAGCAGGGAGAATGACTTAGTAAGAAAAACAAAGCCATAATGAGAAATCTTTGAATTCTTAAACACTCTTAGGAGGGTCCTGTTGCAGCTTAAGAAGTAGGAGGCTGCCAGGGGTCTGACTGCTGTTTCACCTATGCCAGTGGATTTCATCCCAATATCCGAAAAATGTAGGTCAGCTATTTAACAGATTTTACAGCATTGTCTTGTGGATTGTGGGCATCTTTTCAGGCTAAATAGTGATCCTGCTAACCATAACGGTATTTTTCCTCAATTAACAAACAGATGCAAAGAACAGGAGGAATCATTTCACAATAAAAACATAAAGGTCTTCAGTATCTCTGGATTCTGTGCATCATTTCTAAGAGCAGAGACCTGTTTTACTGATTTCATTTCAATGGGACTCCATAATTACAAGCATTTTACAGGTTGGATTGAAGCCAATGGTTCATACACACACAGCTGTCCTAGGGAAAGCGTCTGGGTGGCCTGTAGATGAGGAGAGGCTTGAAGCACAACAGCAACTGAGCAATGATCAAGGGTATGATTCTTAACCAGCTCATACTACTACCATCAGTCATGGATAGCTAAAATAAATTTAGCTTTTTTGTGTTATTATTTTATAACTAAAATAAATGCAGGCGATGGAAGAGAATTGGATTTACTAGATTCTTTATTTAAAGATGGATTTATAGGGTTACCTAGAGATTCTCCTAGTCCATCCAGTCTCCTGTTTTATGAGGAGACTTGTGAAACCCTTTTAAACCATTTCATCTTCAATTCAGCCACAGTTCTTTGAGTTAATCCCCAGTGTATGTCAATGGAGGTGGCAACAGTAATTCTCTGTTGTATGCTAGGGATCTATGAATACCTGATGGTGCTTCTGGACAAATATACCTAAGAAATTTATCCCTTCTGCTTTCATTGCCCTGAAACAAAAGTCCCTAGGCATTCCTTCTTCACAGAACTTTGGTTGTTTGGAGGTTTTAAGTAAATACAAGTAAAAATACATACATATTTTGGTCCAAAATAGAGACATAGATGTCTAGTACAGATTCCCTTGCTCAGTATTTGAGCATCAGACTTCTCTTAAGAGAAGTCCTTACTGTACCTCACAGCTTTCTGATTACCTTTCTACTGCTTGTTCTGATCCCAGAGCCTTCTGCCCCTTTGCAGCAAGATGGCAGACCACTGCAGTTTCACCTCCCTTCAGGAACATTAGACTAAACAGAGCATCGTATCTCCAGTTCCCTGCCAGGTTCCCTGCGTAGAATTCAGGAGACAATATTTTCACCCTTTTCTTTCCAGAAAATGGTTTTATTTGGATACTACATGACAGGCATAAACCAACCATGTCACACCATACAGATTTAAAAAAAAAAAAAGGGAGAAAGGAAATGAAAACTTCCAGCTTTTGTCACAAAATCAGTGGTCTATTACCTGCTTCTTTACTAAAGACCTTGACCTCTCCATAAAGCCAAAGGTAGCCAGTATTTCTCCATATGGGACAAGGCATGGAAGATAAATCCCTTACGATTCCAAAACTTATATGCAATGTGCATTGGAAGTAAGTTTTCAGTGGAAGTAATAACTGTAATTTTGGTCAATTTGTCTAGGCTGGAAGACCTTGAAGTTCAGAAATTTCTTTACCTATACTTTTTCATCCTCCCCCCACCTTTTTGGGGGGGGGGGGGGGGGGCGAGAAGGAATTTTGATTCCCCCCCATGCCATGCCCCTGCTTCCATAACTTAGTTCCTGCCTGGGTAGATTTTCACTTTTATGGTAGTTACAGCTCAAAACTGTTCTCCAAACAAGAGTTGTAGCAGTTTCTGACCCAAAAATCCTTTCTGGATGTAGACTTGTCTTCAGAAGTGCACTGGGTTTTTGGTGGATGATGGACAGGGAAAACAAATGGAAAATTCCACAGATACATGTATAATTAAAGTTAGAATGATCTCCATTTTTCCCCTCTCCTTTTCTCTTGCTCTCTTCCGAAAATGCTTTGTAGCAAGGCTGGACCAAAAAGAGCAAAACTTCACTTTAAGAGATACAATGTGCTTTTAATCATTTCCTAATAAAATTTTGGCTTTAAAGAAGCCCATTTTAATCCTCTCTTTTCATCACCATGTCAGCTAAGAGGGGCGAGAAAGGAAAAAGGAACGAATTCTAGATCAATCACTTTCCCTGGTGTTTATATTTTATCTTTGGGTTTTTTCCCTTTTCTTTGAAGGATTTGCTAAGATCCTTCACTTTTTGATAAACATTGACTTATGGAAAAAATTCTACACCCCCACCCCCCCCTCCCCCGCTCCCTCCATGATGTTTTCTTTCATGGACCATTCTTAACAGAGATCTCTCTTTTTCTATCTACATGGAGACTCTTACGGATTAAGCTTTATTTGACCCCTGCCATTTGTGATTTGAAGTAATTATTTTTTTTGGCATCTATTTGGAAATTTAATAGCAAAAGACTCATACTTTCAAACGCATAATTGCAAGTATGATTGCAAGTTTTTGTGTTTTCCCAAGTTTATTAGAAGGTGAGGGCACACTATAAATACTTCTGGGCAGCCAGAGCTACCAGGAAAACATACTGCTTAGACAGACTCCAGTTTC